ACCAGAGCAGCTGTGACCTCCAGGAGTTAGGCCAGCAGGAGAGCACCCCAGTTGTGCATCAGCAGGGACTGAAGGGAGCTTTGGTGGGGGCAGGAGGCGGGGCCCTGGGGCTCAGGCCTCCCTCCCCGGACTCCACGTTCCCGGGCGAGCAGTGCTGCTCTGGCAGGCCAGCACTGTGTCAGCCCGGATTGATTTGCAGGAAGTTTACTTGTACTCATCGGATGTGCCATGTAAGTTGGATTGCTCTTTATTGTACACATTCCTTCATGCCAGCATGTGGCAGGCATTGTTCTAAGAGCAGGAGAGTCTGCTGTGAATAGGAAACAACAACCCCCACCCCCCCCAAAAAAAAAATGTGCTGTTGAGCATGGAGAAGTCTCGCTGAGATGGTGGCAGTTGTGTTGAGAGGAGGACACCGTCCGAGTATGGCGGAAGAGCTGGCCATGCGGGTGAAGGGCAGCTAGTGGCAAGCAGAGAATCTATTGTTCACCTGGGAAGAAGGCAAAGAGCCGCAGGAGAGAGCGAAGGAGCCGGGAAAGCCCAGGAGGTGGGCCGCCTCCGCTGGCCTGCTCTCCGGTGCGCAGCTGCGGAAGGCGACTTTTGGTCCTGATGGGCCTGGCTCCTCTCAGTCAGTCAGTGTCGGAGCGAGCTCTGCGGTGAGCGTGAGTCAGAGCATCTGAGTCACGTGGACCAATTTCCCTGACCAAAAATAACCCAAAACAGCATTTCTGGGAAGCTCCCGGGAGGCAGCTTCGAATGTAAACAAGGAGCAGAGTGGAGATAAAGGCTGCCTGGAAAAAGTGAACATTTGGGAGACCAAGAGAATTGCTTTGGGAGACAGTACTGAAGAAAGCAAGCGCATCGTTTTAGAGTTACAATTCTAGAGCCTTTTCTTTCTGCCTGTGTGTTGGATGCTGTGTGTGTGTTTCAGTTGGGGAACTTGCCTTTTCCCTGGGCACAGAGCTGTGGCTTGGGACTGCAGCCTGCAGTCCTTCCTGTCTGTGTGTAGGAAGTTCTTCCTGTAGTCTTCCAGGCCAGTGGCCCTCCCTGGGACCAGCAAGACCTGTCCAAGCCTGCACTTAGGTGCACCTGTGTCCAGCCTGGCCACCAATTAAGCCACAGGAAGAAAACAAGAAATACAGGGCACAGGTGGCTCACGCCTGTAATCCTATCTATCCAGGAGGCTGAGATCTGAGGATCACCATTCGAAGCTAGCCTGGGCATGAAAGTTCTTGACTCTTTTTTTTTTTTTTTGCCGGTCATGGGGCCTGAACTCTGGGTCTGGGCGCTGTCCCTCAGCTCTTCAGCTCAAGGCTAGCGCTCTACCACTGGAGCCACAGCGCCACTTCTGGCTTTTTCTGTTTATGTGGTGCTGAAATCGAACCCAGGGCCTCATGCTTGCAAGGCACGTGCTCTACTGCTGAGCCACCTTCCCGGCCCCTTTGAGACTCTTATCTTCAATAAACTACTCAGAAAAATCTGGAAGTGGTGCTGTGGCTCAAGTGATAGAGAGCACTTGCCTTGAGCACAAAGAGGCTCAGGGACGGTGCCCAGGCCCCGGGACTGGGTGGCGGGGGCGGGGGGAGGAAAGAGGGAAAAAGCGAATGAGAACAAGATGAGTTACTGCCCACTTCCAGAACTCCTGACTGGGTATGTGGGCGCTGGTGAAGGCCCCTCCTTGGAGCCTTGGGGCTCCTCTGTGGAGAGGGGCTTGGGGCCAGGGGCCAGTCCAACTGTGGGTCTGTGGTCAGAGTGCACCTTGGGTGGGCCTCGCTGGGCCTTGCTGGGCTTCAGGTGGGCACTGGGCCTTGCTGGGCCTCGCTGGGCTTTGGGTGGGCCTCTCTGGGTGGGCCTCGCCGGGCCCAGGGGTGGGCACCAGGCCTTGCTGGGCCTCAGGTGGGCCTCGGGTGGGTGCCAAGCCTCGCTGGGCCTCGGGTGGGCCTCAGGTGGGCGCTGGGCCTCTGGTGGGCGCCAGGCCTTCGGGTGGTCCGGGGTGCTAGGTGGCGGTGTGCTGGCCTTGGCCTAGCCCTGGCCTGGATGAGCACCGGCTTGGGACTTGACTACGCACCAGAGCAGCTGTGACCTCCAGGAGTTAGGCCAGCAGGAGAGCACCCCAGTTGTGCATCAGCAGGGACTGAAGGGAGCTTTGGTGGGGGCAGGAGGCGGGGCCCTGGGGCTCAGGCCTCCCTCCCTTCCTCATGTACCATACTTTAGCCAAATTATGTACATATGCATATAACTCTCAGGTTTTCACGTATGTTTGTAATTTAGATCTAATTTCCAAAAATGAGAAAAAAACACGTGCCTTTTGTCTTTGAACCTGACTTATTTCACTTAACGTAATTTTTTTCTAGGTTAATCCATTTCCCTGAAAATGACATATTATTTTTTCTGATGGATGAGTAAAATTCCATTGTGTGTATATAACATTTTCTTTTTCGCTCTCTGTTCTGCACCTGGGGCTTGAACTCAGGGCCTGGCCACTGTACCAGAACCTTTTTGCTCAAGGCTAGCGCTCTACCACTTGAGCATGGCTCCATTTCCAGCTTGTTGGTGCTTAATTGGAGATAAGAGTTTCACAGACTTTCCTGTCCAAGCTGGCTTCAAACGTGAGGTCTTAGGTCTCAGCCTCCTGAGTAGCCACGGGCACCTGGCTCATGTCCCATTTCCTCCATTTATCATTGTAGCGCATCTGGGCTGTTTCCATAACTTGCCTATGGTGAATAGCACAGGAATGAACATAGCATACGAGTATCTTTACTGTATCCTGACTATAATCTTTTGGATAAATGCCTAAGAGTGGTATTTCTGGATCATAGGTGGTTCTTTGCTTAGTTTCTGTTTGTTTGTTTGTTTTTGTTTTTGTCTGTCATGGGGCTTGAACTCTGAGCCTGGGCCCTATCCTTCAGCTCAAGGTTAGCACTCTACCACTTGAGCCATAGCACCACTTCTAGTTTTCTGGCGGTTTATTGGAGGTAAGAGTCTCATGGACTTTCTTTGAACCTTGACCCTCAGATCTCAGCCTCCTGAGTAGCTAGGATGACAGGCATGAGCCACCAGCGCTGCCCAGCCTATGTTTAGTTTTTTTAGGAACCTCCAAAGTGCCTTTTAAACTGGTTGCACTAGCTCATGCTCTCAGCAGCTGTTATTTTAGGGTTCCTTTACTCCCTGTTCCCATTCTTGCTGTAGCTTCATGAGGATTAAAAAAACCCAAAACTCCAAACTGGGCACCAGTGGCTCACACCTGTCATCCCAGCTACCTAGGAGGCTGAGATCTGAGGATCACGGTTTAAAGCCAGCCTGGCTGGGCTGGCTTAGAAAAAGCCAGGAATGGTGCTGTGGCTCAAGTGGTACATTGCTAGCCTTGAACAAAAGAAGCTCAGGGGGCTGGGAAGGTGGCTCAGTGGTAGAGCGCTTGCCTTGCATGCATGATGCCCTGGGTTCAATTCCTTAGCACCACATAAGCAAAAAAAGAAAAAATGCCGGAAGTGGCGCTATGGCTCAAGTGGTAGAGCGCTAGCCTTGAGCTGAAGAGCTGAGGGACAGCGCCCAGGCGCAGAGTTCAGGCCCCCACGACCGGACCCAAAAATAAAAAAAATAAAAATAAAAACAAAAGAAGCTCAGGGACAGTGTTCAGGCCCTGAGTTCAAGTGCCAGAACTGGCCAAAACCCCCCACAAAACCCTAGCAGTTGGATGGTGAAAGGAACTGTTAAATCCAAGGTGTAGATGGCTCCGTTTAGTTCAGTTAGAAAATTGGCGATTACCCATTGACTTTTGGGAGGTGCTGTGTTTGAACTTGGCACTGCACTAAGCCATGTTCCACCCTTTTTGCTTTATTTTTCAAATAGGATCTCATTTTTTTGCCCTTGGATTTAACAGTTCCTTTTACCACTCAAGTGCTGTTCACATCTGAACTGGGACCTCCTCGCGCAGTGCTGCTCAGGCTTCAATAGCCAAACCTCCCTGTGCAGCTGCGAGACCTCGGGCCTTTCTCTAGTGTGGTTGGCTAACAGCAAAACTGAAGTGGAGAACATTGCTAGTTTTTATTCTGAATGCAATCTATTTAGGCTATGAAATTTCCAAAGACAAGAGGGAGAGTGGAACTTCCCACAACCTTCCAGAAAAGTCTCTCCCTTTCTACAGAGCTGTGGTTAGGAGCTGGTTGAAAGTGGCTAGGCTTGCATGAATTCAGAACATTGCGCTCATTCTGCTTTCTCTCAGCTAGTGCTCTACTACTTGCGTCACGCCTCCAGGCTAATTGGAGCTGGAATCCTGTGGACTTTTCTGCCTGGGGTGCTTCCAGCCTCGGGCCGACAGATCTCAGCCTCCTGAGTGGCAAGGGTTACAACATGAGCTGCCAGCACTTGGCTCTCATTCAGTTCATTCACAGACATTTTCCGTAAACTCCAGGGAAGGGAGAGGGGGCGGGGATGGCACCTGTGGCTACCATGTATTTTCATACAGTTCGTGCAGAGTGTAGTTACTGGGGAGCGGTAACTGATTGTCTGTGTGCCCTGCAGTTGACTTGGTTGGGTCTTTGTGGAGGGAGTTAGGAGATGTTCCATGTTTGAGGTACTGAGTGAGTGTTCTATCTCACTAAGTTTCTTTCTCTGTGTAAGGGCTTGAGATGAATTCCTAGAAGTGTGTACTGGTTGGTGGCTCTAGAACCTGCTGTTCACACGCTTCCAGGTCTGCTTGGCTGTGTCTTCCTCTGCGCTCTTGTAGACCATTTTATGGCGTATTTAGATGTACCCACATTGCATCCTATGGTGTAAGTTGCTTTGTAGGGAAGCATTATTGTGAAGGCCTCCTGGAGGTATGTAACTTGTGGCCAGGTGGCTAGCAGCACCCTGTGGTCTAGTGGTCACTGACCCCACGGATGCTCCCACGGCAAATTAGAGTTCCCTGGGCTGTCTGTGGATTTGGAGGGACCGTAGAAGTCAAGTGGTGACGGTACCAGTAAGTGGAGGGGAATAAAATGATTGTTTTGTCCCTTCAGATTGCTCCCAGAGCTGAGACCCCAGTCCACAGTAACAGTCTGCAGAACGCCCTGCACACATCAGCACATTCCACGGAGGATTCGCTGCCCAAGAGGCCTCTGGGAAAGCACAGCAAAGGTGGGCCACACCGGGCTTCCAAGGATGTCAGAGGGCGGGGGGAGGCGCGTGCCGCACAGCACGGCAGGCCGGGTCTCGCCGCACATGCTCAGATGCCAGCAGTGCTGAGCCAGTGGGGGTGCTGCGTCTGATTCCACGAGCTTGTCTGGCAGTAGGAACCTCAAATATTGGTGTTTGTTAAGCTATTAAGCTGGAAGGAAGCCAAACAAACCCTGCATCTAGAGCAGCCTGTGTGTGAGTCTGCGCATCCCCAGAGCGGGTGCAGAGAGGGTGCCACGGCCTCCTGCGGGGCTGAGGAGGCGTGTTTCCACTCAGTGCGATGGAGTGTGGGATCCTCGGTGGGGACCCGTGCTCACAGCGGCGGCTGTCCACCTGGCCCTGGTCCACAGAGTGGCCGTTCCTCTTCCTCCCCACACCCAGTCACACGCACCATAACCTCTTCTGCTGTGGGCTTCTGCTGCTCACCTCCCGGGTACAGCCTGCCGTCTGTCGTCTGCCGTGGCTTAGAAGCTGCTCGCCTCCATGGCTCCCATTTAGGCTCCTTCTCAGTCCCTCTCAGCCGGGGAGAACCCCAGCTCTCAGACACCGCCTCGCCAGCGCCGCACAACCAGGCCCCGCCTGGCCCCTGCCCCGGCCCGGGCCCTCATGCGCCTCTGAAGGACTGCACATGGTTTGCCTGTTTGTAGCCTCTGCGGCTTTGCAGAGCATGTTCCAGTTGGGGCCCGTCTGCAGAGTCCACATGCCCACGCCTGATGGGTCTGTCCACCCACATGGCCTAGAGCTCCCATTGCTGTCCGTTGCCACCCTGCAGTGTGGCTCCAGAGCCTGTGATGGCCAGCTTTTGACGCCTGGGCAGTCCAGTCAGCTTCTCTGCCACAGCTGTTGCCTCCCTCCCGGCCTGGACCCATGGTGCCACCCCCTCCTCGGGTGGGGGTGGGATACGGTGGCCCTAGGTCGCCCCCGCCTCCGGGGTTTTGGCACCATTTGGCTGTCCTGTGAAGTAGAGCCAGTGTTCTTGTGTTCAGATGAAAGTGTGAGGCTTGGGGCAGTGTGAGCGGGCAGCTGTGCCCAGGGTCATGAGAAGGCAGCCTCTGGCCTTGAACTGAGGTCGTCTGAACAAAGCCTGTGGGTTAACTGGGACCTGTAGAAGTCCTGTGTGTGTTGGAGTGTTGTACTCTGGTCTCGTCTTGCTTTCTGACACCTCTCTCTTCTGGGCTGACCGCAGTGTCCTGCTGAGCCCTGACTACACACATGTCCCTCTGCCCCGCACCAGGCCCTTTGCTTCAAAGCCAACACAGCCTAGTCCTGTAACCTCTGCAGCTCTTCCTGTGGCCGGCGCTGTGCTCGGGCCGCCCAGGTGCTGGCCCTCAGGCCCGGTGCCACGCCCACCACTCACCACGGACGTCCTCCTGTGCTTGCCAGGACAGGGGAATGGGTCTTCTATCCGCTTTGCTTCTCTCTGTTATGCACACCTCCCATTTGTGAAAACAGTTCAGTCAGATGGATGAGGACTTCTGTCCTGACAAGACACAGAAAGGTGACCAGAGCAGTCATGATGCTGGAGTCTGACCAGACTCACCGTCAGCCACAGGCGGCCAGGCGGCCCACGTTGCTTGTCCACCAAGAAGCCAAACAAAAGCGGGAAAGCCAGTGGTACATTAGAAATTGTGTTATATAAGTGAGACTTTGAAGAATATATGTTTAGGCTTAGCGTGGTGCAGTGTATATAATTGCCAGCTTCCTGCCAGGCACAGGCAGGGAGAATTCTGTCTGAAGTGCCAGGGAGGCATCCATGCTAGTGAGACTCAGTCTCAACAAAACAACCCGTGTGGCAGTTCCCACTTAAAGTCTCAGACACACCAGGAACTGTAGGTAGGGGGGTTGTGGTTCTGAGTTTGGCCCTGGGCAGAATGCATGACTCTGGCTGAAAAGTAACTGAAGCAAACAAGGCTGGAACATAGCTCAAGGTTTAGAGTATTGTCAAGCAGAAGAACCCTGAGTTAATTCCTTAGCACCTTCAGAAAAACCAAACCCTGAATTAACAAGATGACAAACAGCAGAATGTTTTTGTGCTGAGTTTCTCGTATGTGTGTGTGTGTGTCCGTGTGTGGTTCCGTGTGTGTGTGTGTCCGTGTGTGTGTGTCTGTGTGTGTGTGTCCGTGTGTGTGTGTCCGTGTGTGTCCGTGTGTGTCAGTGTGTGTGTGTGTCCGTGTGTGTGTCCATGTGTGTGTGTGTGTGTGTGTGTGTCCGTGTGTGTGTGTCCGTGCCCATGTGGAGGACGGGCCTGGAGGCTGTCCCTTCGCTTTTTCTTCCGTGCTAGTGCTCTACCACTTGAACAGTATTCCCTGTAAGAGTCTCATGTAGCTTCCTGCCCAAGCTGGCTTTGAACCACGATCCTCAGGTCTCAGCCTCCTGAGTAGCAGCGATGACAGGTGTGAGCTGCCAGTGTCTAGCTTCTTTTCAGTCTTTAAGTGAGAATGGCTTTCAGGAGCAAAGGCCGGCAGTGTCCGCCCTGGTCGAGTAGCTTCTGCTCTTGGTGCTGTTAGGGACTTGGGCTGGTCGTGTCTGTTCCTGAAAACCATGCTGATTCTCTTTCATCTTTCTCCTGTCTTCAACAGTACGTACGTATTACGATTTCTCTTTTGACGTAGTTTTGGCAGCTATTTGCTGAAGTGCTCTCTTACTATTGGGCTTATGAATTCAACCATTAAACTGAAGCAACTAGGAGGAGACATTGCTGGACACTATCGGTCACTCAGACTTTGGGGGAGGGGACTTGCTTCTGGAGTGGCCCTCTTCTGCAGGTGCCTCCTTCACAGAGCTCCATGTGACACTGCACTCCTGAGACCCCAAGAGACAGCCCCAAGGCCAAGATCGTCCCAGTGACCTGGACCTGGGTGGAGGTGCAGCTGATGTGCTCTGGCTCAGGTCTTGGGCCTTGGGCCCTGTGTTGCTTGCTCCATGCTGTGACTGGCTTGGGCTAGACAGGCGCCCTTGCACGTTCTCTACTCCAGAGCCTGTGCTGTCTTTACACAGGCCTGTCTGCCAGGCTGCCTTGAAGGGTCCTTCGTATGCCATATGCAAGCCTGGCACTGGGGTCTTACAGATTATTCCCAGGCTGCTTTCAGTGGCATCTCCCTCTGTTGGAAGAATCCAGTGCAGTGTGTTCTGTTCCTCAGAGCTGGGTTGCCCAGGTCTCCTGCTGAGGGCAGTTGGCTTTCTGTAGCATTGTCTTCGAGGTGTTACCCACATGATGAGTTTTGTGGAAGCTTGCCTGCTGCCACTTTTCCTCCAGGGCGTGCTACTGTTTTTTTGTTTTGTTTGTTCTGAGGCTTAAAATCAGGGCGTAGGCATTGTTTCTGAGTGTTTTTGCTCAAGGCGGGCACTCTGTTAATCCAGCCACAGCTCCACTTCTTGCTTTTTTGGTGGTTAATGGGAGATCAGAGTTTCACAGACTTTCCTACCCAGGCTTACCTTGAAGTGTAATGGTCAGACCTCAGCCTCTTGAGTAACTGGGATTATGGACGTGAGCCACTGGTGCCCGGCAAGGGTATGGCTCTTGAGCGACATGCCATGCCAAAGGGGCAGGGTAGGCTCTGGGCTGCAGGGGGCTCTGGAGCTGCAGGGGGCTCTGGGCTGCAGGGGGCTCTGGAGCTGCAGGGGGCTCTGGAGCTGCAGGGGGCTCTGGAGCTGCAGGGGGCTCTGGAGCTGCAGGGGGCTCTGGGCTGCAGGGGGCTCTGGGCTGCAGGGGGCTCTGGAGCTGCAGGGGGCTCTGGGCTGCTTAGCGGGAGCCTTGTAGGGATGGGCGGCTGTTCCCATAGCCACAGACTCAAGGAGAGAAGGTCTTGCTCAGGTTCTCTTGATGGCCTGGCCGCGGTGCTGATGGGCATGTCAGGGACTGGGCTTTATCCGGAAGGAAGGCCTGCTGCCGTAGGCCTCTTGTCTTCAGGTACAGTACAGGAGATAATGGTGCTGCTTGCCAGGTGTCCACCTCGGCTGCCCCTTCCTCTGCGCTGCTGATCTTCAGTTTTGGAAAATGTGCATTAAAGTGGTGCCAGGGAGATTTAAGGTAGCTTGGGAAGACAGACTGCAGCTGGGCGGGAGGACTGGGGGTGCTGGCCAGCTCAGACTCCGCAGCCAGCAGGTGGACGGCCTCCTGCCGGGCTGTGAGTCCAGGCGGGGTGGAGGCTGAGGGCCTCTTGGTGCCCTCATCTCCTCCAGCGACTGCTTGACCAGGGCGTGCTCTTCCTGTGGTGGAGGTCCTGGGGGAAGCCAGGCTCTGACCTGAACGTGGTCCCTTCCCCCTCTTTCTGGTAGTCACAGCCAGACCCATGGCCAACCCCTTGTCTGGGGGAGGCCTCCAAGCCACAGAGCCTCGGCAGAAAAGCTGGATGCAGACGCCCCCTCGAGGAGGCCCTGGGGGCATTGACACCCAGACAGCAAGGGAAGCGTCTGGGGGTGAGTCCGCACAGACGGCCCCGGCCCTCATCCAGAGGGGAGCGCTGCCAGTGCAGAGGGCCTTTGGGAGCCTGCCCAGCCCCCGTGAGAGCTGCTTGGGCCAGAACTCGTGTCTACACAGCAACACCAAGATGGAAAACGGCCGCTCCCCTGTGCCAAGCACTGTCGGTGTCTTTCATGCACCTTTCCTGCAGAAGTTTCTCAGGGTGATGTCGATGGAAGACATGGTGGCTTGTTCTGACTGGGTGAACAGCAAGAGTGGGAACAAGAACAAGAATTGAGAATGGTAAGGAGACAACCCCATGTACGAAAATGGAGCAAGAAGAAAACCATGCAGCCAAAGCCGGGCGCTGGTGGCTCACACCTGTAATCCTTGCTACTCAGGAGGCTGAGATCTGAGGATCGTGGTTCAAAGCCAGCCCAGGCAGGAGAGACTGTGAGACTCCTATCTCCAATAAACCACCAGAAAACTGGAAGTGGCGCTGTAGCTCAAGTGGTAGAGCGCTCGCCTTGAGCTGAAGAGCTGAGGGACAGCGCCCAGG